CCCGAAAACATGGAAAATAAGTCAATCTATCAAATAAGTTGTGGTTATTATCACACAATGATTCTCACGAGTGATCGTTGTGTCTATGGATGGGGTTTTAATAGGTTCGGACAGTTAGGTTGTGGACCAGACAGTGATATACGAAAAGGGGTAACATTTCGAGTGAATTTCAATCCCTATCACGAAATTAAAGGTATTTATTGTTGTGATTACTCTTCATTTGCCATCACATCAGAGGGACAGGTGTATAGTTGGGGTCTAAATGATTGGCATAATTTGGGACACAATTCATCGGGTAATATATGGAAACCACAACTCATTGCAGACATGACTGGTATTAAGACTATCTGTTCAGGTGGTAACACTACTTACTTCTTATCAAACGATGGATTCATTAAGTTTTGTGGAGAATATATGGATGAAAACAGTGAATATTTGTCACAAATATTACCAAAAGTATTAAATAATGATAAGAGGTTTACAGAAATGGATAGAATTGTCTCATATAAAGATGACTTGTATAGGGTTAGAGTTATAATGAATGGCAAAATATATTGTATTTATAATGAACTAAACGATAATATAATTGAAACAAATTATACAAATATCTTCGACTGTTCTATAAATGATTATCAAATAACTCATAAAACTATTGATTTTTGTGATTATAAGGAATATAATTATAAGAATTGCGAAGAATTTATTGCAAAATGTTTGGATTATTTGGAAAAAGTATTTTCTTCTATAAAAGACTTATCAAACAATGGTATGAATTGGTTGTATGGGTCATTCACAAAGTACGTACAGTCAGCCAGTCATTAACATTCACGATTAACACATTTACTTGAACAAAAATATGCAAATCTCATTGAAATTAGTTAGAAGAATTTATTGCAAAATGTTGGGATTATATTGAAAAAGTATTTTCTTCTATAAAAGACTTATCAAACAATGGTATAAATTGGTTGTATGGGTCATTCACAAAGTACGTACAGTCAGCCAGTCATTAACACTCACGATTAACACATTTACTTGAACAAAAATATGCAAATCTCATTGAAATTGGTTACGAAATTAATAAAGTTAACTTGTACATTTTACAATATTCTCTTTTCGAACGCTAATTGCAGTTAGAATTTAAATCTAAAGAAATTGTCAGCAATTAATCAAATTTCTAAACAAATTATTTTAATTATATTTATGCAAAAATAAATAATATACCTATAATTTAATTACTCTTTAGTAAGCCTACAACACATCCCCGTCCCCTTTGAGTACTAGAAATTAGTTACGAAATTCATAAAGTTAACTTGTACATTTTACAATATTCTCTTTTCGAACGCTAATTGCAGTTCGAATTTAAATCTAAAGAAATTGTCAGCAATTAAGCAAATTTCTAAACAAATTATTTTAATTATATTTATGCAAAAATAAATAATATACCTATAATTTAATTACTCTTTAATAAGCCTACAACACATCCCCGTCCCCTTTAAGTACTACTTTTGGATGACTTTTTAAGATAAATGAATGAATGAATGAATTTAATTTGTTTTATAGTTGTTTCCGAAGTGAATGATTACAAGCGTTTGTATGAAGAGTTACGTTCATTAGGTTCGGGAGCTTTTGGGGAAGTATTTGTTGTTAAAGAGAAACATGATGGACGAGAATATGCGGTTAAGAAAATAAAATTGCAAGGTAATTTAATGGGATTTAGATATATTTTGTATAACCACATTAAATTGTATTATACTGTATTCGTAGATCATCAAATTTTTTCAAATTTAGAATTATTTATAATTATCAAAATTAATACACTTACAGGTGCTGAACAATTACGGGAATGTATGCGAGAAATGGAAAATTTGATAAAAGTTAGGTCACCATATTGTGTCCAATATATCAGTCAATGGCAAGAAAACAAAATTTATTACATTCTTATGGAATTGTGTTCCCATAGTCTGCAGAATGTTCTTCAACACAAACCACAAGTGTTTGGTCGACAACCGGAAGAACCCATGAATTCAATCGAGTTTTACATTTCGTGTCATATATTCAAAGAGATCTTAGAATGCGTTCAATATTTACATGAATTGAATCCTCCGGTCATTCATAGAGATCTCAAACCCGACAATATATTAGTGGCACTAAACGTCACAAATAGGCGGTATTTTAAACTGGGTGACTTTGGTTTGGCGACAGTACACGACCGGAATATCCATTCAATGACTAATAATAAACATACGGGAGATGTCGGCGACATTATATATCAGGCGCCTGAAGTGGCTTATAATGCAAAATATGACCACAGGGTAGACATCTATAGTCTGTCCAAAATCGGCGAAGAAATCTTTGGTTTGAATTTCAATGACAAACTGTAAGTCGAGTCAATAGTTTATAAAAACTATAAAATAAATTACTATTAAATATAAATATATGCTAATTAATAGTATTGCTCATTTGTGTAATTATTATATTGAATGGACAGCACTAATAACACTAATAACGAAGTTCTGGGTAAACGTGTTCTTAAATTACAAGACTTACTACAATCCATGTCATACTATAACTGGGATCATCCGCACAAACCCGGCCCTCACTGGACAGACAGACCCGAGTGCTCACAAGTGTTATCCGAATATAACTTATGGTCTATTCATAAGAGTTATATTGAAAGCGATTTGATTGACAACTTTATTTCATCGGCAAATACACATCAATCAACTGATGGCCTGTTTTTTCAAGAATATTTTAAAACTTTAACTTGGTTCAACTGATACACAATTGAATTAATATTAATATATATATATAATGAATTGTACAGTGACAATAAAGGTATTTTAAAATGATTTAATTTAGAAAAATCATTTGTTTGGAAAGTAGTGAAATGAGTAGATTTTAATGAATTTATGATTTTATTATAAAATATTTTGTATAATATTTACATAAAATAATGAATTTGTAATAAATTATCAAAACTTTTATCATTCATTGAGTTTTACACAAAAGTTATGCCATTTGTCTGTCAGTGAGCTATGCATTAGACGGCGGCCGCGAACTCGGAGCTCATGGGTTGGCGTCTCTACACATATGGACAGGAATTTCATTACAATTTTTATACGATTCTGTGTCAGACCTACCGGTCCCTCGAATTTGTCTTATTTTGATGACCGCATAAAGTACGGCACATATGATGAGTACAATCGTTGAGATCATTATCATAACTATTAGTCCAGTCTTTACGCGATCTATGGTCTCATCACTCGATTCACGAATTCTTGCAGTCGTTGAGGGAGTCGTCGACTCGAGAGCAAAGATCACATCAATTAATGCCATCATTTGAACCAAATTTATAGATATTATCTTCATTTTAATGATTGTTTTTATTTGCAAATGTATGACACAAACGGTTCTGAAAAATCTAATCAATTCAATTTTATATTGAAATTCAATTTGAAATAAGGATTGAATTTTAAATTGAGTTTAATTTAAATCACAAAAATATAGCAACAATTGGTAATTATTTATAATACATGATATTTCTTTGATTACAATTATTATTATTATAATATTTATTCAATTACTTCAACTAACAATAGAGAGCTTAAAATACTCTTTAAATAACCCTGAATCTAACGATTATCAGTATTTGCACGTAATTTGGCAAAAAAATATTTCACAAAAAACTGGCAATTATTTGGTTCATTCATATTTATGGCCACAATGTTGTCAATTGTATGCATTAAGTCTTGTGTCACATATTTCTCATGAATAGCCCACTCGTGGTATGTCTTCAGCACATCCTTACACTCGGGTCTGTCTTTCCAATTGGGATACAATCGCATGGAAACCAATACTTCCCGTAATTTAATGACACATTTGTTTAAGACCTCATCATCTGATGAATACGTTTGCTCACTATATCAGTAAATAATACATCAATAGTTATATTAACGTATAAATTATATTAATTTTAAAAACTTGACTCGACTTACGAATTGTCCATTATATATATATATATATATATATATATTATGGTTCAAATCAAATTTGTTCGGCACTTCGGACAGACTATAGATGTCTACTCTGTGGTCATATGTCTCAACCTTAGCTTCTGGTGCCTGACATCGTCCGTATGTTTAGTAGCAGTCATTCAATGGATAGTCTTGTCGTGTATTGTCGCCAAACCAGTCACACAATTTTAAAAACCTACCGTTCCTGACATCCCTCACCACTAAAATATTGTCAGGTTTAAGATCCCTATGAATGATGAGTGGATCCAATTGATGCAAAAACTGGACGCACTCTAAGAGTTCTTTGAATATATGATACGATATGTAGAACTCAATTGAATTCATGAGTTCCTCCCGTTCTCTACCAATACTTTGTGTTTTTGTTCAATAATAATATTCTGTAGACTATTCCCAAACATAACTTCATTACAATGTAATAATATCTCTCGTCTGTCATTAAGTCCACACATTTGACGACATATTCTGAATGAACTTTCGATAAATTATTTATTTCTCGTATTAATTGCATTAACTCTTTGGACGCTTCGCTGTAATCGTCGCCCTTTGTATCGACTGTAAGGAAAAGATTAATTAAATTCTATTCATTGAAAATAATTTTTAAATCACTTAGTTTAAATCAATCTCTTTGACCGCAAACATCTGTCCATTGGACTTATCTTTTACTTTATATACCGTTCCATAGCCACCCGCACCCAAAAAACCACCTTTCACTTTTTCAAATCTCTTAAAATCTTTTATTATAGCGTTGTTTAATATATTATTATCTATGCAAATAAAATATACAAATATTTAATGTATTTTAGATTATATCATTGACATACATTTGTTTGGGTTATTAAGCGTATTATAAAACATTTTCCCAAATATTCTGTAAATTTTGTGGCAAATTCTTCACTTGTATCGCAATTATATTCCTTATAATCGCTTAAATGAATCGTTTTATGAGTCAATTGGTGTTCGTCTGTATAGTAATCAAAGAAATGATCGTAATTTGTTTCAATCAATCAGTTCTGTTGTGTTAAGCATTTCATATATTTTCCATTCATTAGAGCCGTTATAATTGGGACTTCTTTTTGAGGACTAAATATTTGATTCATTTGTTCGCACTTCAATCGTAATTTGTTTCAATCAATCAGTTCTGTTGTGTTAAGCATTTCATATATTTTCCATTCATTAGAGCCGTTATAATTGGGACTTCTTTTTGAGGACTAAATATTTGATTCATTTGTTCGCTGAAGGCTAGTAAATAAGTATAAAAACCGCTAAGAACATAAGTAAGAAACGAAAGTAAGTGTATTTCGGGTGTTTTTATATATTTAGGTAGCAAACTATCCTTTATACACAAGTGAAGACAGCGTGTTATAATCTTAATATTAGTGATATTATCAACAAATTGTGGTTTCAATACATTTGCGGATAAATTATGTCCCAATTTATGGCTTTGTTTTGACCCCAACTAAACACATATCATCTGAAGTGATGGCATATGAGGAGTAATTTCGACAAAAAATGCTTTAATTTTATAATCAATTGAATTATGATTGAAATGCAGTTTCTTGGGCTCCAATTGTATAACAGAATTATCTAAACCTAACTGTCCCTCTCTGTTATCACCCCAACCATATACATCGCCATCACTCGTGAGGGCCAACAAGTGATACAAACGACAACTTATTTGACAAATACTTTTAAGTTTAACAAATAACTCATTTTCTGGGTCTACGCTACCAAATGACGATATAATCATAGGTTTCAGACAATTATATATCACCCCAAATGCGATCCAATCATTTGACACCAAATGAATATACAGTTGCCATCACTTATGGTTATAATGAAGTGTCGCCACAAAGAAACCGCTGTATATTCTGGTGACACAACTCTGGGACCAATTGGGGTTCGCTTACTTAGTCATTGTGTCCCAATAGATCCCAATTTATTAGATCCCAAACCGTAGACCTTATCATCATTTGTCTCGAAGAGTACATTATATCCTCTTTCGTCGTCGAAAACATGCAATATTTCAATAGATTTAATCATATCTTGTCTCCAATTTTGTGTTCAATTCTGTGAATCACAGGATGTCTGGACCTGTCAGGCCAGACATATTTGTCGTGTTTTACTATTTAGAGTTTCATATAATTAATAAATGATTTAATTATAACAGTATTTAAATACATGTTAACTTTAATTGAAAGTCAGACTCACTGTGAATGTGAAGGTTGAGGCAAACATTTAGTATTAATATTATTGATTAATCTATTGCTACCTTGTTCATTGGACAGGCATTTGTGTTAGGCATTAGATAAATAACCTTATTATCAATGTATTTGAGATCAAAAGGTAACGGTTCTGCGTATAAGTAATCCGCACTCTTTTGTGCCATACCTAATTGTCCCTTATTATTATTACCCCAACCATAGAGACAGTTGTGTTGAGTGAGGGCTAACACAAAGTCGGATCCATTGAAGAATTGTGTGATATTCTTGTGACACAA